CGTTTGCGGATCCACCGCCGCTTCACCGATTGAAGAAAGACGCAGCCAATCCTGTGGCATCTGCAGTTCGAGCTACCTTCTGACTGGGTGCTGAAGGAGGATTTGAAGTATGCCGTGTGCGGCGTCTTTGTGTCGACGAGGGTTCTCCGTCTTGTACCTCCTCTTGCTGAATCGCAGCAAGATCGTCAGCATCCGGAGAAGGTTCTTCCCGTTGTTGTCATTCATGCATGCCGCATTGCACTGCTGCTCGAACCTTAGGGAAAACACGCATAGGTCTGTGGCTAGCAGCCCAGACCTTACAGCTTCTTTTTTCAGTAGCCATTTCGGCTCAAGGGAAAACACGCATAGGTCTGTGGCTAGCAGCCCAGACCTTACAGCTTCTTTTCAGGAACGCATTTCTTGTTGGACAGCGCAGCACCGCAGCTATTTTAGCCTTCGTCCGCATGGCCCTCGACCCTCACGCGGCCCCGGACTCGCCTCGCACAGCAATGTTAGTTAGAGCCATTCAGTCTCTTGCAGAAGACACTTTGGAATGCTCTGCACAGGTTCACCTTCGCCTTGATAAGCTCTCAGTTAGGGTTCAAAATCTGTGGGGGCATTATGTGCGCACTGGAGCGTCGCATAGTTCAGCTTGAGGGGGCTCCCCAAGCAACGGACTCGCAAAGCATTTCTTTTCTCCAGGAACTAGCCCTTTTTGCTCTTGTTGCCATGCCTCGCTTGGGCAAGGCACCGCCATGCAAGCGACCGGCTGTGTCGCTCAGCTACCACGACTTGATAGAGGCCAAGCTTTGCCTCTATCAGACTTTTGTCTTGCCCTGCTCTTCTTGGACTGCAGAGCTCCCAGCACTTTTGGCCATGGCACGCCCTGCAGGTTTTTTGCTAGGTTTCCTTGAGCCCACGGACAGGCGCTGCTTCATACTTTCATGTTCAGCCACGCACGGACACGGAGCTTTCATATGGGCTTTCTCTGACCGTGATAGGCAAGTTATCCTTGCAAATATGCCACAGCACCGGATATCGCAACCGCACCGCCCCGCATAGCAATGGATTGCCCTAGCTCCGCACTGCTCTGGTTGGCTTCGGGAGTCCGGCACCGCACAGTTTCGAGTTTTTTCTTCAACGTCTGGTACCTGTCAGACAGCCCTGCTGCGAGACTTATCCAGGCACAGGAGAGTGCATCGCTTAGCACGTACCCCGCAGAGCTATGTGAGGGAGCGTTTTGCATTCCTCCCGCACAGCACAGCGCCGCAGAGCGCCGCGCACAGGCGGCAAGCCGGCTGGCAGAGCTTCTCAGCGCATGGCGCGTTGCGCGGGTCCGCCTTTTGAAACGCTTCATTGTGCACTGGCATGGCACGGTCTTGTGGGAACAGCACTGCAGAGAAACTCGGGAGCTGGGAGGAGGGGGATGTGCATATCCTCGTCTGGTTCACATCACCACTAGAAACGCGAGGGCGATCAGTGCTCATTGGGTCGGAAGGAAACACCCGTGAATTGCGGTGGCAGACAGACCGCTTGGGCGGTGTGGCAGTCTGTCATCTGGAGAAACACCCCCGAGCCCGAGAAGGTTGTTGGGTGAAGCCTGTCCCAGGCAACCTGGTGAGATTGACAAACAGCATGCGTGTCACCGAGGCGCCTTTTGTTCCAGTAGATAAGGACTCCATCCTTAGCACTTGAGAGTGCTTTGTGTATGCCTAAGGTACGACGATAAATTGTAGACTGCTCAAAAGGGTCGAACTGGAGCCCCCACTGGAGAGGCAGCTCCCATAAAGGCCTAGCCGTTCTCAAGTCCTGTGCGTCTATCGCAGATCAGGTACTTTGTTCTCGAGAACCCACACTACAGCAAACTATGGTCTTCTCAGAAAACCAAACGCACGCTGTCTAAACCAAGGGTCTCGTACGAAGTAGGCAAGCTCCAGGCCTTTGGCGCGAATGATACTGGATGTTAGCATGCCTCACCAGCCACATTCAACTCCAAAGGTATCGGAGGAGTTTCTTGCTAAGCAAGTTTGGCGGACAGTAACAATATTGCCATGTTTCATAGCACTTCCATTGAAGGGTTCGTAACGTTCGTGGATAGTCTTAAGCATGAGCTTAAGCTGATGTTTCAGCAACCTCACAGTAGCTTCTGCCCTGTTCGGCCAAGCAGCACCAGGTCCTGTAGCGACAGGTTTCATATGTTGCCCATTACAGTAGGCCTTCATGTTTGGAGTCAGTCTGATCTGCCACGACGAGATTTGGAGTATTTTGATACTTCTCAACGTATTCCTCGCCTTGGTCCAGGATGAGGAACTTTCGGCCTCCATGCTTGCGGCGACCCGTCCTCGTTGTCGCGAACTGCTCAAACATGGTTTGGCGAACGACATTATACGAGTGGTACCCTTGATTGGTCAATGTAGAGACTAATCTTTTATTAGGTGTTCATTCAAGTCGGACTGTACGAGAAATAAGAGAGACAGGAGATTGTCATTCAATAGGAAGGAACCCCTGTGGGCGTCTTCACGCGCAGGGTTCCATTCCCGGAAATGCCTTTCAGCGTATGTTGCCTGTTCCGTGGCATCCTGTAAGCGCATGAAAGGCGCATCCTGCCTGAAGCTGATGGCGTTAGCGAGTTCTGGTGAGTCATCTGCCAGAGTTACCGCCGGTAGAAGGTCCATTCAGGAGTTTCGCAACCTCTGTACGACGATATCGAACTTGGCAATCCAAGTGACGAAGTCTTGGTTGCCCTTCCATGTTTTGAAGAGGCCTAGGAAGCTTCACAGGAAGACATACTGCTCACCCTCCAAAAAGAAAGATCGCATCTTCGCTTTGAGGTATTCCACTCCATCAATGGCAAGACCGGAGAGCCTCGTCTTGAGAGACGGTCCTCTCTTCTTGTCTTCCAGCGTCGTAATGTTGGAGCTGTATTAATAAACCCCGCAACCCCCCCCCCCCCGAGGTTGTTTTGCGCGGGGTCTCTTGGGGCAGGGTTTGGGCTGGGGGGTGGGAATAATAAACGTCTGGCCGTGTCTAGGGTTCGTAGTAGCAGTAGTATTAATTAATTCGTAATAATGAATAGTAGTAGTAATAGTAATTAGTGATAGTAGCAATAGTAGCAACAGTAGTAATACCCTTGCCGGCTTTGTGAAATGGCTTCGTTTATATAGAATTTTAAAAGGCTGCAGTTCCTGCAATCCAGGGTCCCTGGCTTCAGGCCAAAGCCTGCAGCCCTCGACAGCAAGGCCTTTGTCTCGAGGTCCATTGGCTTTCGCTTTCTATTTAGTCTTCTGAAGAAAGCCTTGCTTCCAGGACCCCCCGCCCCGGCGGGGTTATTGTCACCCCGTTAATTATTGCGATCCGCAAGGCTCGTAAGGGATACCCTTTCCGGCTTTGTGAAACGGCTCCGTTTACATAGACTTTTAATGAGGCAGAGGCCTCAAGAACAGCTGCTGCAACTTCTGGAATCCGGAGTTTCTGGCTTCAGGCCAAAGCCTGCAGCCCTCGACCAGCAAAGGCTCTGTCTCGAGGCCCATTAGCTCTTGCTTTCTAAGCAGTCTTCTGAAGAAAGGCTGCTTCCAGGACCCCCAGCTGCTGCAATTTCTGGAATCCGGAGTCTTTGGCTTCAGGCAAAAGCCTGCAAGGGTCTGTTCAAAGGACTGACTGCCGAAACTCGGTGAAACGCAGCAGTTCTCCCGACTTGGAGCGTCTGAGATGTCGGATCTGCTTTGAGTGCCGAGGGTTGGAGTGAAAAGGCTCCGGAACAGCACTCTGCGATGCTAGTTCAGTGAGATGTGTGAGGAACTGCATTCTGCCAGCTGGGTTTAGGGGGGTCGAGGCTTCCCTTTCTCTAAACATTAATACGCTTTCCTTCGAGTCCGGCTCTAAAATTTTGGGGATTTCTGGCTCGGAATATTTTAATTGTCACCCCTTTTATTATTTTTATTAATATCACCAGGGTCCTAACATCAGTTGTTTGGCGATCTGGGCTGATTTGGGTCCACAATCTAAAGTAGTCTTCCGCCGGGAAAGTCAGGGCCGGGGAATATTTTAATTGTCACCCAAAGTGTAAATACAACTCTTACATCAATGTCACACCAGTCATCAATGAGCTGTTCATACTCAAACCACGCAGTGGTGCCATCAGAAGCGGGTGCTATGTTCAGTGAGCATTTTTTCGATCGAGATGCCATATGCATGGCTTGCGGCATAAGACGTAGGACCTTGAAAAATCTCGTCTTCTGAGTATCCTCCGGAAGGGTCACTTCTGCTGTCATCACTGGAGTGTGACGACATCGCGCAACCTCGGCACACGCCTAGGGAAGCGAGTGGCCGGAGCCAACCGTTGTGGCGGTGTTAGGCAAAGGGGTTGGTTTCTACACTCAGAGAGAACTATAGTGGATTGAAATTGAAACCATTGGAGACAGAAGCGGTTACGGCGCATACATGCAAGCGTTATGCCATTGTTGCAGGTACATGACATGACTGTAGTCCTGACCGCCTGCACACGTCTAGGCTTTTAGAACACGCAGGGGGGGTGGAGGGGGGAGGGGGAAGCAGAATCTTTGGACGCAGGATCCAATTTCAAGCTGGGGGGTTGGGAGTGGGTCACTGGGGAGGATTAAGAGTGTGGGAACCTCTAACCACGTCGGCCAGGGCCGAGGCGAATAACTGCATGTTGTGTTCTGCGACTCGTACGTGTTATGGACTGTGTTGTCATGATGTGCCATGCTTCGTTGGGTTGTCCGATGTGTTCCGCTTTCATCTCGAAATATTCTATGAAATGCTGCTTTTAAATCGTGCATTGTTTACATGTTGCAGAGCTGCGTCGAAGTAGTCGCCTCGAGACGTGGCTCGCAGCATCTAGGTGGACGTCAGAGATGTGGTTGTGTGGGAAGTTTTGCTAGATGTGCGTAGTGCTGAAGGGATGGTTGCGGTGGTGTGAAGTGTTTGATGCACGGTGTGGTGGCTGTTTCGCAGGGTGTCAGAGCACAGTGGCTAGAAGTGCACAGCCCTGAGGCCTGATCATGCGCAAGCAGCAGCGCTTGAAGAATGGTTTGCACCTCAGTCTCTGCGTGACTTGGCGCTCATGGGAGTCTCCTCGCATCTCAAAGGTGGCCAAGATCCGCCTGCGGAGCTGGGCCTGGGCCTGGCACGGCAGCACGCAAAGCACTGCAGGGCCTAGCCACAAGAAGCCGTGCTGGATGCTGCCAAGGTAGCATCTTCCAACCCTGTCAGCACCTTGGCCACGCAAACAAGGCAAGGGTAAGGGTTGGGTCTTCACTCTGAAAATGAGCTTGTCTTTGAGAGGCCGGTGAGTGGCACATGGCTGTCGTTGCATCATTTCATGTGCAATACAAGCAACAGCGACGTTGAGCATTCTGACCGACCAGGAAAATGTCCCCACAGCCTCTGGCGAGGCCACAGCAGCCGACTGCAGTCGAGTCCTATTCATGCCGGTTTCGTTGGCCAAATGCAGGATTCTGCAAGCTTCTCCATGTTCGCCAGGGGAATCAAAAGACAGAATGGGAAGATGAGGCCACAAAGGCATCGCAGAGACTGTCTTTGTTGGCAAATTTCTCGGGTGGTCTGGTGCAGCCTTGCAGTGGCTCACCAAAACGGCGCCGAACGTTTGAAGTGTAAAACACGGCACAGCATAAACCATATCCGACTCCGACTCCTGTTCGTTACCTGCAGTCCTCTTGGCAGGATTTGGCAGACGCCCGCTGCTCCATTCTAGCAGTTCAGGAGGCCATGCTTGGAGATGCAAGTCAGTTCATGTCAGTTGCATCGGACGAGATCGGAGTTACATCATGCCAGTCCAGATCCCGAACAGTGAAGGTGCATCTACTGTAGAGTTCAAGCCCTTTACATGCAACATCATAGAGCCCTTCCAGGAGTTAACTTGTGAATCCCAAGGCTACGCCATGAGTCCAAAATGCATTCACGCATATTCACGCCACTGTGGCGGGATCACTGGCCCAAAAGCACACGATCAACATCGGGAGGAGGAAGTGCTCAGAATACAACTTTTGAAGTCGGAAGCTGGAGTCCCACCCAAACGTGACAGACACTGTGGCTTGGAACTACGGGGTAATGAGACACGGCCGAAGGGGAGCGCGATTCACCAGGTTCAAGAAGAAGTAAAACCTCATAGTGACCCGTAGCGCTACCGCACCTCTTGCGCAAATATCATCTATCTCGGGATGTGATAACTTCCAGCTGAGCACTGCATTTTCGGAACTCCTCAACGGCTTAAAGTGCAGGGCCAACCTAGACACTCATCCAGAACTCAAGCCGTACTTAAGCAGTCCGAAGAGCTCCTACGAGCCCACAAGGAGAAAGCCTCTTTGCTTGCCCTCACAAAGCAAAGTGGGTGCCTGGCTCGGCGAAGCTGCCAGTGAACCATTTGCGGGAAGCAAACTATAGCAACCTGCTTCTACGTATGTGGGTCCCACTGTGGGTCTCGTTACAGCACCCGTTGCCGACACGTTCCCTCTAATCCCTTGCATGAGGCTTCGCGAGTACACCTTTGACCGAGTCTTCGGCTGGAATCCCAACGGGAGGGACACCTCCAATCTGGAAGTTTGTGAAATATGCGCATGTCTTTGCACAGTCTGTTGACACATGTGATCAGTTGCCTCCTTCCTTGGCTTTTTCCCGAGTGGGCCCACTGAGCCGTTTGACTTTGGCCTCACGACAAAAGGGCCTTTGTGCGTTGAGCCGTGAACTGCAGTTGCTAAGTTGGCACCGGAGCCTACCTTTCTTGGGCGGCTTCTTCGACCACGCGTGCCGATGCCGAGGATCATTCCCGAGATGTTCACTATGAACTCGGACGAGGATGCAGGCGACGGCGGTGATCTCCCTGATGAACGGGAGGACGGCGCCTACCAGGAACCGGCGGTGGCTCGAGAACCTGTGGTTGAGCAAGCCCCTGACTTCCATTCCAGATATTTCCAGGGACCTACCCGCACTGAGTTTAGATGCCTTCGCTGTGACGGCGACCGTTGGGAAGTGAACTTGTATGGGGCATGGTGTTGCTGTGCATGTGAGAGCACGGAGTCTTACTCATGCAAGAGACCCGTTCGCCGTTTCCGCCAGCCGACCATGTGACCTTGGACCGCCAGACCCCACGCCTGGATCCGGAAGCACTGCAATACCATTTGGAAAAAGCCGTCTGGGCCCGGAGCTTGGGATCCGATGGAGAGGTGGAGCACCTCGTTCATGCTGCACAACAGTTTGAGCGGCGAGGCGCAGACAGAGCTGCAGCATGCGCCCGTACAGTCTATCAATACCGATGAAGGGCATAGACTTCATCCTGGAGACGCTCAATACCCCGATGAAGCAAAAGCTGGTTTTCCAGAAGCGCAAGCTCCTCAACGAGCACTAAAAACATCCACGACAACGACAGCCGAGGGAACAGGATGCTGGAGCGAGCCAGGCTGTCGCCTGGAGACCAGAGGTTGATACTGGTTGGTAGCCGGCAATTGGGTTTGAGGTAATTTCAGAGTCGATGCACATGCAGTACCCTGAGTTGCGCGCCTCCTCATGTATGCGGTAGAGATACCTCGCAAGGGAGATGGCAAAAGGAAAGCCCGGCACTACTACCTCATCACCCTCGTCTCTTTCTTCTGGCGCGCAGCGGCAAGGGCTACTCGGCCACGCAGTATCCAAAACCATGAGCCCGGAGAATCATTCTGTTGCATCTGGCCGGCCTCACAAAGAAGACCTGGTGGGCGCCTCGTTTGTCCTTGGAACCGATGCCGCCGGGAGTGGTAGAAGAGGAAGAGGTCGGTCGCTGCGATGGTGCTGTCATGGGACACTCTGCGTCCTCCTTCCAAGGCCCACGCACGCCGCACGCCATGCAGTGAGGGTGCTGCGCTGTTGGCACCTTTGCCGTTACGGGGACCTTTGCCATCCCGAGGTCCTCCACTGAATTTCCGTCCCAGTTTAAGGCTGCTCAGCTTTTTCGCGGTCACGGTCAGCACATCCAAGGCTTCGATACCGGGTCGGTGCCGAGCTCCCCTCGTCTTGATCATTTTGGCAGGGTAGCCCTCAGTGTCATTCTCGGCGTCTCCTGCGGCTCCTCCTCGGGGATAAGGGGCGGCTGGCTGCAGCACGCGCCGTCTTCTGGACAGCGCCGGGCTTTGCTGGCACAGCAGCTCAGCTCGGGACGTTTTTCCCGTATGGTTCCGGACGGCCCGCGAGATCGCGAAATTCCGCTTCTCGCTTCGAATTTCGGTTTCTTGATGAGTTGAGGATGATACTAACCGTGTGACCTGTGACCTTCACAAGTCGCAACATGTCTGGAAGAGTTTGCAGGAAAGCGTGGATTGGAATGCTTCGTGGCGAACCTCCTCGACTTCAGCAAGACCTTCTGCGTGACGCTGACCACCGCGGTGTGCCTCGGGATGGTTCCTATCGAGATCTACGAGGTGGTTTCCCCCAACACTGGACAATCAGTTCGTGCGCCCGCAAGCATCCCGACCATGTCCGGTACAGGGGTGCGTACGGGGCTGCCGGCCCTGCCTTGCGAGACGGAGGCGGAATGCTCCAGATCGGGGTGCTCCGCGCCAAATTACTCGATTCGCGGCCACGTGCCTTCTTCCTCCAACACCGCTCCTCCGGCTTCGGCGTCATCAGCAACGCCTCCCCGGCTGCCGCAAATAGCTTTTCTGCGCCGAGGCGCGGATCCCGCCGAGGCGAACCGAGCTTCCATTGTGATCGGGCCTTCGGCCTGACGGCCAAGATCCACCTTCGGGGTGGCGCCTCCAAGACGGACCTATTGCGGGAGCCTTGTTGTCTTTGCTGAGAGCCGACTTCAAATATCACCGATCCGGCGCATCAAGGACCTCGGGCACTTCGACATCTACCAGACCTTTGTCACCTACCAGTGGCAAGACTGGAGGAGTCGCCAGCATGCTGGAAAGGTCGTTTGGTGCACCCGGCATGAGGGCCTTCTACATCGGTCCCACCACTAAGATCGGGCGCAAAATCTCAGCGTTGTTGTGCAAACTCCGTCGCAGAGACGACTGCCGGAGGACGTTCCGTGCACTGCCCGGGGCGCCTACTTATCGATGACGATGGGTCGAAGGCAGAGAAAGAAAGCGACGACCTGGGCTTGGTGCACCAACCGAAACAACGCGTTGCCACACCGGTAAGGCCGAGGTGCGGACCTTGAGCTGCTGCTTGCACATGCCCTACATTCTACCTGCCGTCAACAACAGTCAACAACATGACTTTGAGCAGGGGACGTTCAGAGATGATCCAGCCGCCACTGCCGAGATCGTCCAGTCCGAGGCTGTGAAGACCCTGCGCGACCTCGACGAAACACAGAAGGTTCCACAACTTCACCGCACTGGCCTGCTCTTACTGGCGGTACTCAGCCACGCGGCCAAGAAGCTCCTCAACGAAACCTCCTCGACGACGACGAGACTCGACGGCATGGACGGCGACTGCCAGACTGGGAGATCCTAGCCAAGGAGCCTGCACCGGAGCGTCTAGGACTTCCAGAAACTCCTGTGCCAGACCCTAGTCACTTTTCTTTAGAAGGACAACAAGAACCACAACAATTACAAGAAAGACTTCCGGAACCTCCTGGTCCCTGACACACCTTTAGAACTAGGTTGGGAGTCAGCACCCTTTGACTCAGCAGTGTACAAGACAGAGGCAGAGCCTGAGCCACTACAACCTGAGGAGATTGAGCGACTGCTGCCGGACAACGGCGACCTCTACCGCTGCAAGCACCGAGAACTTTGAGGAAAGGTGCTACAGGGTTTATTTGATTTCTAAGCACCGCCTTGACGACTTCAAGGACGCCAACAAGCACCACGGTGAGAGCGACACCAGCGACAGTGGGGAATCGGGCCAGACAAGGTCAGAGGCGAAGGCCTTGGACAGAGAAACACCATGGCGTCAGACTCTGGACTTGGACCCTGCCGATATCCAGCTAGGCATATATCTCCGCGCTGTGGAGAAAGAAGCGGCCAGCTGGAACGACTGGGGCTCGGTCAAGGCGCTGACACACGCCGAGGTGCAGAGAGTGAATAGAGTGATTCGGGACAAGGTGCTGCGCAAGTGCGTGCTGCGCACCCGCAGCTGCTTCAGAGACAAAAGGAAAGGGCTCGGCCCATTGGCTGCTAACTGGCCTCCAGGAAGAAGTGGCATGGATTGTCGGCAACCACCTTCCTGCAAGACGATCTTTCGGACACCGAGCGCGAGCTTCCACTCTACTGGAAGACACCACTGTACTACTTGGTGTGCACCAACGTGTACGGCCTGAACACTGCTCCCCGGCTTTGGTCACTTACGGTGATCAAGCGCTTAGCCGACTTCAACTGCCAGCAGCACGCCTTTGACAACATGGTGTTCATTTAGCGCAATGCCTCGCGGGCGAGCCAATCCCGATCATCATCGTCTACGTCGACGACTTCCTCGGCGTCTACCGCTCCGACTACAATGTGAACGAGGTCTACCAGGCTTTCTAGTGTTGTGTGCTTCAAGACTTCGGGGTGGACAGGCCGGTTACGGAAAACAGATTATTTCTTTGGCAGAAAGCTAGCGGGATGACTGCTGGAAATTTCCGAGAGGAGCTGATCTGAGCTCCACCCTCCCCGCAGATCAGCGCGTAGAGTTCCGAAACCCAGAGCTCTCGGCAGTGAACTGCCTCTCGAACCACGGGGCGCCACAACTGTCGGAGACCTCAAGGCCATCTACGAGGCAGTGACCTTCGCCGCGTCCACCAAGGACAACGGCTTCATCATGTCGGACGTGCCAGTCAACAAGCAGAGCATCATCATGACGTTCAGCGACGCGAGCTCGGCCAACGCCGAAAATGGCCGTTCCCAATGTGGTGTACAAGGACTTCTCTGTGCTCCCCACGTCCTGGAAAAGACACCCGCGCCATGCCGCTGGACTGGCGCTCGAGCAAATCCCAAGGTCCTCTACAACACGGCAGCCACAAAGTGACACCTAGACTGCACCAATTCGCAGAAACAGATGCGAAGTTTTTTACGACTGTGTGATATCGGACAGTCCCAACTTGAGCGATAAACTCACTTGTGAATATCCGATCGATCCTACAGGTGGTTCCACGAAACTGGATTCCCACCAATCTGATGTGGGCGGACGGCCTCACGAAGCACAGTCAAGAGCTTCAGCAGAGTTTCCACGAGTGGTTACAACGACCTAGAGTGACTCTGAGGCAACAGACATCATCAGCCAAAGAAAATTTAGACCAGTGTGAAATCTGCGTATGTCTTCGCACAGTCTGAAATGGCCTTCGTGCATTGAGCCGAGAACTGCAGCTGCTAAGAGGAACGGTATGAGACGCTTTAAAACGCCTTGAGCCTGTCTCGTGTCATAGCCTGGAAGCCCGGATTGTCCACGCAAGATGAGGCGAGCGCGCGGAGCAGGCAGACATATTTGCTGGCTCCGCGCGGCGCTTGGCACGGATCCCCAGCGCTTAGTCTTCGTCTAGTGCTTGAATATGACGCAGTTAATGCTGCAGTTTTCTTGTATAGTTGCTACTGTAAAACCTGGACCTCCACTGTCCTCCAATGCTGCTCGAGTGTTTGTCGTCAGTGGGCCAGCAGGTCATGGAGTTTCTGAACGGTACGAGTACAGCACCAAGTCTTTGACAGCTTGCGAATGATGCCCAATCACATCAGGCTTCCCTTGCTTGGAAGTTGGGTGCAGTGCCACGCCGTCTGAGGTTCTTTTGTATGACGTGGTGATTTTGTACAGTGAAAGCTGAGCCACCGATCCAACAAGGTGCGAGCATCATCTGCTACGGGCAAACTGCCAGCGGCAAGACTCACACCATGTTCGGGCCGTCCAGCCGGCGAGCATTTCCACGCCTTTCCGACGGATCGTGCATAATTCATGTGCGGCGAGCGAGCGAGCGAGCGAGAGCGCGAGGGAGCAAGCGAGCGTAGCTGTATGCACTTGAGATGCCCTCGTGGGGACACCTGGGTTGAGGGGCCCACCACCCAAAAGGCTCATGCTTTATTTCCAAGCTGCTGGGGGGCCTGAAAACTTGCCTTCGTACAAGATGCTACCACGTGCTGAATGGTCCTCTGCTAAGCTGCGTATGGACCGCTGTGAAACATTGTGAGACCAGGTTTCAGGGGTGGAAGAGATCGAGGACCTGCAATTTTTGGCTCCTGTGTGTTTGACGGTCCACCCGACTCTCGTTCCGGGCACCCACCGTCCGCGTAACTACAGTGGGAGAGAGACCGGGCTTGATGCTCGGGGGGCTTAAGCCTAGGAGAAGAAGAGAGATCATGCATAAATACTTCTACAAAATTGCCAGGCCACAGAAGGGGCTTGCGACGACGTCAGCGGAACTGCAGGGCTTCCATCTGAGAATAACACGGTTGACAGCGAGGAGTAGTGGCTCCAGGCAAACCAAGGTCAAACAGTTTGGCCGTCTGACACAGTTCTGAAGCATATTGTAGAGTCCGTGACCCCCACAGCGGCTGCACGGCAACCCAGAAAAAGCTGAGGCTTGGTTCCCAGAACCTGTGCTGAGGTGCCGGCGACTAAAAGAGACCGACAGTCTAAGTCTGGATGATGCCAGTCATGCTGGACAAGGTCTTGTTGACGGTCTTCGCAGGTTGCCGAGTGTGGCATGGATAATCTTGGTCCCACGAGGTACTTAAGTTGCTCGAGTCCTCCAGGAACGGACCATTGGGAAGATGGCCTGTCAGAGGGCCCCGATCCTTGAAGGGAGCCTACCGCAAACTGAGAGTGGCAAGTCCACACACGGATACACACTCACGAAACAAGCGAGTTCGTGTTTGCAACTTCCAGTCTTGTATTTGTCTTGGAGATCAATAGGTCCCGAGCACATCAGCGTTTAGGTTGGCTCCAGGAGGAGCTTGCATTTTCAATTTTCAATCAGGATTCTTCTCTGCTTCAATGTCGAAGTCCGGGAGGTTTTGCGGACTGTGGAGATCTGGCGCCAGCGAGGTATTGAGGCGCGGTGGGGTGACACACCTGAGATTCAATGCCGGGCCATGCCTGACCGGCATGCAACATCATGCAACTGCATTTCTGATCTCTGGCAATGAACCAGGTCCACCTGTCTGCAAGCTATGTCGAGCTCTTCGGCAGCGAGGCCAGATGGGTCAGTTGGCTTGCCAAGGATGCAGGAACAGTCGGGTGGTTTGTCTTCTTAAGTATTCAGGCAGTGAGAGCCCGTTTGAATACTGCCCGAAAGCACATGAAGCGTGCACCACGTGTTCCAGGTCTCGGACCTCCTGCGGGATGGCCAGGCAGCGGTGTCCAACAGCAGACAAATCGCTGTCAGAGGAGGTTTTGATGTGTGCTTGGCGCTTCTTAGAATGCCCAGGCTCAAGGCAATCAAGCTCTCAACACTGTCAAGTACAAGTAGTATTTGTAAATAAGATTCCAGCCTGTCTTCCTTTTCCTTCGATCCTCCAAGAGCACTGTGTTTGCTACTCCGTGTGCATGTCAATCAATGTGTCTCCGGTCGGAACTCCTGAAAACTCAACTCGCATCGGCACCTTTATCTTCAGGTTGTGGGACAGGGCAGACAAGGCCGTTATGCTGCAGTTCGTGCTACAGACCGCGTCGGGCACAGGCGCGGTATGATTCGAGTGGGAAAGTTCTCACGTCCTCCGTAACATGGAGTCGCAAACCACACTGTTTTCGTTGCATATTGCGAGGTTCATGCCCCATGCTACTCTGGACGTTTGTTGCGGATTGCCTCAATGATCTTCGATCTGCATTCGAGAGCTTGCCCAAACCCATTGCGGGGCAATCAGATGAATCGCTCCAAGGGTCAACCGAACACTCAGAATTCTTGTCCACTGCTGAAACGGGCAGGCTAAGTGGAACTGACCCACGGTGAAACGTCCTGGCTGAAAGGTAGATTGTTGGCCAGAGCTGCGCTTGAGCTGAATTTCTCGCGGCGTTGAGGGCAAGAGGCATGCACAGCGATGCGTTCCTTCAACCACAGGTATGTCTTAGACGGGCACACAGAGTACCACATCGAGCGGAAGTCTCAGCTCGTGCTACCAGCTGTTGCTTTCCTGGCAGCTGCAACACACGTATAGTTCAGGCTGGACCGAATCTTTAGCTTTGATGTATCAATAATCACTAGAGCACAGGCATCACAACTGTTTGTTTTCAGAGGCCCTGCCTCTCTGGCCATCATGGCCATCCCACCACTCCTTGCCCTGGTTCTCGCCGGGACTTTCTCTTGCTATCTTCTAGCTTCTCTCACTTTCCCTCTCCTTCCTCCTGTACGCGCTTGCTCCCATTCCCGCCCTCAGGCCTGACAGATCAACCACAAACGAGCACAGCTAAGGTCTCTGGAGGAGGTCTACGAGCTGCTGCAACACGGTGAAGTGGCCAAGCGCCGTGCCGCCACCGCCATGAACGAGAGGCAGCTGACACGTCGACAATTCTCAGACTCAGCGTCGCTCCTTGGGATTTCTGGAGATCCTGCAAATTGAACTTCGACTTGGTAGCATGTGAGACAGGAGGCAGCTCCAAAGGCTGCACGCAAACACTCTGGCCTGTCGCTGTATCGGAGCAAAAGCATCGGATCGGTGGCATTGGCAATGAGGAGTGAGTGTCCAGCGATTCGTCAGAACTGCGCAGGTCTACTCGAGCACACACTGTGTTTGTCCTGTCCCTGTCGGTGCAGCGACGACAGCGACTGTCCTGCGAAGGCCGACAATGGTGGGAATCCGCGAGACTTGCCAAAACCAAGCCTTGCTTCCTTAAGCAAACACGGCTGCAAAGAAGCGAGAAGAGATTCCTGCCTAGATTCGTGTAGCCTTGCGAGGTGACCTGCAGCTGCCCGCTCGGAGGCGACGCATTGCAGCAACATGCAGCAACGCAGATTTGAGAGTCCCATGGTCAATCGATCCGTTCACAAGCACATGCAGCCTGCACTCAGCATGTCATGGTGCGATCAGCATGTAAGATTGCTGGGGGAGCACGAAGATGCGTTGCGCATCCAGAGAAGCCCGGTAGGAAAGAATACTGCAAGCTACTGTAACAGTAACGTCCTCCGCGTAGACGTAGCAAAGCTAAAATCCCGTGCCCTTGACTCGGCCACATGCTGCTCGGCACGTCTTGTGCTTGTTTATTTAACTGTTTGCGCCGGTAAGCCTATGGTAAGCCCGGTGCCCCCGGAGAGTAAAGCCCAAGCAGGAGTCGCTTCTACTTCGCTGATCTTGGTGGATCCGAGCAGCTGGCAAAGAGTAAGGTGGAATCGGCCAAGGCCTGTCTTGAAGCAGCTTGCGCTGTGAGATGCACAAAAATGGGCTCTTGTCCCGGAGCGGGTTTATTGTGGTTGCACAGATTTGCAAACTCCCATGGTTGGTCGACTCATATTCAGCACCGGAGTCCTGAACTCTCATGTGAGAGCAGCCTGGACGGACCTGGAAACCAGTGCCGAGAGTTGATGCGACTTTGCAACTTGCCGGTCTCTGCCTTGTAACAGGACGATAGGCAACGAGTTCAATTCTGGTAGCTGACCAAGTCTGACAATCGCAGTGCTGAAACCGAGTTTCAGGGTCGGGTCGTGAAGCTGCAGAGGCTCCTGTGACGGTGGTCGGCGGTGAGGAGCAGTACCTCCCGCGAATTTGTCTCGGGACGAAGGGGCTGCTGCTCGATCAGCCGCGCTATGGACATCCCTGTAGCCTGAGAATGCAACGCAAGTCCTGGTCTTTCAACAATCACCGGCCCGTCCCCCGTCCAACTGATTCGGGGTATGTGGGTTTGAAAAGCTGCATGAAAAGGGTTCGAGCCTGAGTCGTCAGTAAGGCTCGAAGCTTGAAGCCCGGAGAACGGGGCTTGTCCCTGACGTGACGAGCTACACCGGAAAACTGTTAAAGCTGCACACGAGTCACCGAGTCACCGAAGTTTGGGTAAGGCCTCCAAATCGTGCTTGAGCCATCAGAACAGGGAGAAGCAAGCGAGGGAGGAAATGCAGATCGGGCTAGGAAGAGCATTGGCCCTATGCACGTGTTTGTTGGATGTTATTTGTTCGGGAAGACAGTTGGTGATTTGTGAAAGAGGCATCAGAGGTGAGGATGAGTGGAGAACTTGTGGATGGACTGTACTGTGTTCTCTTGCACAACTTGCATCTCGATGTGATACCAGGCGCTGCCATTCGCAAGATTCACCATGCTAGGAGACAAGTCAGAACGACAGGTCGACTCATTGTGTTGCTCTCGTTCTGGACAGCATTGCCTGTGCTTGAACTGATTGCATTTGCACTCCATTTTTGGTTCAGGTGGCTTAAGTAAGTCCATGTCTGCCATATTTAATATGAGCCAGGCCTGAAACGTTCGGAAATGACTCGATATTTCGCGCTGGCCTGGATGTCCGGAACTGGCTAGCAGCACGTTTTGCAGCTACGTATGGTTAGTCCGTCATATTCGCCCAGGGAACAGAGAACAGAAGAAGTCAGACATGAGTAGAGAAGTAACATACAATGGACATATCTGAAGTACATACCTCTTGAGTTCTTTCCTCCGACGTCGGGCTCTTCTCCGTAGTGCGGCAGAATGAACCCATCTCAGCCAAGCCTCGCGCACTTACGATTGGGTTTCGTCTGTGTGTCACATGGCAGGAGCCGCATCTCCTGGCAAGAGTTCTATCTCCATCGACAGAGACTCCAGGAAACAATGAACATCAACAAGGTCGGTGCTGCATGTTACTGCCAAGCAGAGCTCTCTGCCCAGCACAGCGCCCACGAGCTGTCATAGTTAATGTTGATTTGGGCTGCCTTCGGTGATAATACTGAAGTGAGAGGGAGTGGGAGATTGCGAAAGCATCTGCAGAGGAACATTGTGGTACCAGGACAGGGGGGGACTAGGGTGCCAGGAAGGGGAAACCCAAACCCCAAACCCGGAAACAACCCCAAGCCCTACACGCACTTTGTGCATTTATGCTCCGAGTCTTGAGCCATGGTTGGCATAGTTTATGGTAAAGTAGCTTGCTGACTGACTGCGCTCTGTGTGTCATGCTTGCGCAGGGGCTGATGCTTCAAGTGGACATGAGAGCTTCAAACATGTAGTTGGTGCTTCTCTACACAAACCATAGCAATGCTGGTCCGCTCCGTCGCCTGCAGGGCCTCTTTTCCCTCAAGAGGGTCATCGAGGTTCTCCACAGGCCAGACGGAGGGCAGCTCGCACAGAAGACACGAGGCGCTCAAGCAAAACTTGAGGGCAGTGGGCTGTAGGAACTTCCAGAACCCTGGGTTGCCTGGACTGCCAAAGGCGCTCTCGCATGGCTGCTGAAGGAGTACCTTCCCATGCGCCAGGGCCGTCTTCGCGAGCTCGAAGTTTGCGAGTGGACACATGCACATGAGTCGTAAGCAGAGAATGCAGTGCCGCATGCAGCGTGCAACCAAGGAACTTGTAATTCAAAGATGTTCCGATCAGTGCACGCAACCAAGGCTTCCATATGTTCCCTATCAGGATTCAAAACTTACGCCTTGCTGCCACCGTTTCTTTGCTATACATCCATAAATATCCAGTATTACCTCTGAACATGATCAAGATCGAAGGGCAATGTGAGGTTCATGTCGTGCTAAACCCAACTCTGGATCATACGAATTTAGAAAGGGCGTCGCTTCCATGCTGCGCCCTAAACTTCAGCGATAGTGCGGGATTAAATGCGGCGTGAGCGAACTTGGTTTTGTTCGTGTGCGCATCATTTGATATGAAGCAGGGTCTGCATCAGGATATATAGCACTCGTTTGAAACATTGGTGAGTGTTTTAGAGCCCTACTTCTATCACGCGCTTTGTAAACTGTTTTGTGCCAGGATGCTGCTCCAGGAAGCTTTGGGTGGCTCGGCGGACGCCTTAAACTTCGCTGCCGCATAGCCCGGTCACGAATGAAATGACTCCGTCCACAAGCACTCATGCTATGTACTTCCTTCCGCTTCACGTTCACATGCCTTTTCGTTGTGCACAGGCACGAACCTTGATAATTACCACTGCGACTATGGATCCTGCCCATGCCGAGGACACCTGGACCTGATTCGTACTCGGGAAGCCATCGATAGAATGGATGATTGTCAATTTGGCATGCTCTTTTCATGCTGCTTTTGAATGACAGGAATCGTTGCAGACGCTGCGGTTCGCGGAGACTTGTGCCCAGGCAGTCTCCAAGGTTCATGAAACGCATAGCGAAATCCTACATGTTCCGGTTAGTTACATGACGACGCGACTGGTACCGTCATTGTCATTGCATCAAGTCTTCTCCCTTGCCACCGCTGCCGGATACAAGTCATTACTGGAGCCAGCCGACGTTTTGCAGTCATTGCATGGGCGGGCAGCAAGCTGTTGCCCAACTGCCTTGCGGCGACAGTATCCTTTTCGAGCCTGTTTCAAGAACTTGATGTAGGCCCGCCTCATGAACATCGTCCAGCACGAAACCTGCACTTCGATTCTGAAATTTGTGGGACCAAACTCCCCTAGCGAACGAGGAATATCTTCCAACCCAAATCCTCAAGACAACGCCAAACATGTGTTCTGAGTGATTCGTGAGCATCTTCACGCACAACCCGTCAACTCACACACGGGGCGTTTATCTTGAAGGCCAAACTTAAATGTGCCGTGTGCTTCTATGCTTCCGTATGAGAAATATATCAGGCATCCAAACTGGGAGTAGTGTGTGTTATTTGTCACCGTTGCGGCTTGGATGTTTCCGGGCAACCGAGTCGCATTGCTTCAAAGACTGGACACACGACATTCGGCACATGCGCCTGGAAATGTAAGCATTATAAGGCACTTCATAGCACTGCATCCCAACACAAATCGTATATTCAGATCCGCACCAAGGTCCAAAAACGTCGAGAGGCAGATCAGGCAGCTGAGCGCACGCAGGGTTTGCAGACAACGTCGCTGACCGTACCTTGCGCAGTCTTGCAAGTCTTGCCGAAGCTTGGACGCCGATCATGATCCGATCCGTCATGCGCTAGCTTAAGCGTGGCATGATACAGTATGATGATGTAGAAGTCTGGGAGTGTCGGTTGGCTTTTATTGTGGATGATGCGCGGCGATTGGCAACACAGCCAGATCTTTCTTGTAGAAATCGGGACATCAATCGAAGCTTCTTGCAGCGCGAATTTCCCATCCTTTCCGTCTCGGTCCTCTCCTCGAGAGCACATGCTGAAGTATTCAGAAACGATGTACAGCTTCGATGTTGCAGCCCGATGTTCGCATTACCCCCAGCCCCCAATGATACCTCAACCTTCATGTTCTCACCTACATCTATGTCCGAAGCATGCTGCTTTCAAGACTTGTTGAAGTAGGCCTTCGCCTTTGAAAGCCCGGTCGCGTCTGCAGGCCGCTTCCATCACCGTCGCACTTGAGAAGATTGAGCAGGTTCTCGATTCTACGCTTGTCTCATTTCAGTTTACCCCGAAATGTCCATTTCCACTGGTCATAGGGCTTTTGCTTCCAGTTATGGGCAGTTTAAGATTGTATGCGGTACACAGCTAAACCGAGGTTGTGACTCTTCATCGGACGAAGTAGGCAGGTACTCCTACAGTCGGTAAGAGATCTAAGCTTCAGCTCAGCCCCTTCATCTCCGAATCCGACAGATCGGGTTCGCTTATGTCTTCGGGAACTTGCAAACAACACGACATCAAAGCCGTGGCAGCAGTTTACGAGGATTGAGAGCCACACTTGTCCCACTCCTCACAGTTCGTCACATCCAAGTTGTCCCAAGTTGCAGAACCCCGACCAGGACATCAAGATACTTCAATCCGAGATCGCGCGCAAGGACGGCCGCCTGGTATCTATGCCTCTTTGGATGTGTAAAAACGAAGATGCATCTGCAGAGTTACAAGCGCGATCAGGCAACTTGTCAGGCTTAGGTCTTAAGGTAGCTTCAAGCTGACTTTTCAGCAGGAGGTGGCAGAAGGCTTTTATTTCCCCAGAGGTGCTGCGCTGACGAGGTAGACCCGAACAGTGTCGGCAAACGACAGCACCGAAAGAAGCAGTTTCAGGTTGTGTTTCTCGTCAACACCAGCATCACCAGAACCAGTCCCGGCAGCACCACAAGCAACGTTCATCCCTCCTTGCTCCCAGTGTCAGAGAACTCCAGACCCCATCGCCGAACCTGCTTCGCAGAAGAGGAGCGCTGGGAGACACGCCTGTTGCGGCGCAGGGACTTGGACACCGTGGCGGGCGAGTTCGGCGAGCTTGGGTTCCAAGTGCATCGGCGACAGATGCGCAACATTTCGTACCAAGGGAATTCCATGACCTCCACATGACACATGACCGCCAGCAGCACAGTCATGGCTAAGAAACCACGTCGCTCCGAAATATGATTGACAAGGTTTCAGTGCGAAACCGGCATTTAGGGAACCATCTGACTTTCAAGTTTTAGACAAGAGAAACGTGGTGTCGAAACCCAGCTTTCAACCTTTGTCTCGCTCAGATGCTATGAATGCATGGGGCATGGGAACAGATCCAAGAATGACAGTCGTCCACGAAGGACAACTGCGCCTTCAGCATATGAATGTTCCCGTCGCGTCATGCGAGTTTATTAACCGAGTTCGAGATGTGCAACGCACGGAATATTGCAAGAGAACGTCATGCCTAACTGATTTAGTCACTCGTCACTCTCTTCTCTGCTTTCATGAAATAACGCACGGATACAAACTCATGAACGGCATGACCTCTCGCATCACTGAGTGCAAGCTTTTTATCTCTTACGATGTGTGTGTGTGTGTGGGCTGCTGTGCTTGTGTGTGATTGTGTGCTTGTGCTTGTTTGTGTGTGCATGCATGCATGCATGCATGGATGGACGGATGTATGTATGTATGTATGTATGTATGTATGTATGTATGTGTGCATGTGTTTATGTGCGTATGTGTGTATATGTGCGTGTGTGTGTGTATATATATATATATATCTCCCTCTCTCTCTCTGTCTGTGTGTGTGTGTGTTTGTGCGTGGGTGGCTGGCTGGCTGGGTGTGCCTGTGAGTTTATGTTTGTATCTGTGATTGAGTTTGTGTTTGTGTGTGTAGGTGGGTGTGGGCGGGGGTTGGGGGGGCAGGGCATTGCTGAGAAATGAGAGCATGTGCTCTCAAAGTGACAGCTCCAGATTGAGATGCTTGTGACAACCTGACAGTTGTTTTGACGATCTGCTTGGGTACTTTACGTTATGCCTCTGTCAGCCGTGCCCACACGACACCAGCACATCACAATTTAGGTTCCACCGGCCGAAGACAGCGATCATGCACTCTGTGAACAATATTAATCAACGTTGAAACAATCGAAAATGCTTGCGTTAATGCTTACAGTAGTAACAATCTTAACCACAAACCTTGGATCTCCGAGGGAAGCTCCAACCGTGGAGCGTACGGAAGTCATCCCAACGACTGTGTTGGTTGGGGCCGAGGCACGACATGGTATAGCAGTCAAGTAGCAAGCACAAATCAGGCTCAAGCTCGCCATACATGCATTCTGTGCTGATTCTGATGCTCAGTAAACTGTTAAACATCACATGTCGCATGCGGCTTACAGCCACCAGTTCGGCAAGCAGGTTGGATTAACTTGCAAAATCTTCGGTTGTGCTCCACTTTCGATGCACAAGAGCCTCCAATGGTCAGAGTTGTTCGCCTCATGTCAGGCGGAGCGTTCCCAGCTGGAAATGTTGCTGCAACGTCAGGCTGGCAAAGGGTTTTGCAGATGTCTAGAAGCGTTTTGTAATGCAGGAGATATGCAAACCAACTTGCCGATTGCCTTTGATGTTAAGACTGACTGCCAGTGCGTCCTTCATGCTTGCCGCTTGAACGGCAACTTTCTACGTATTGTCAGGCAGAACTTCAGGGCCTTTGCAGGGTCACCGATTTCGGCAAGGACGAACCCCCGCAATCTTGTTTGTAAATCCAGGATGTCAGCACAAGATTTCCGACAGTTAACGTAGCGAAGTGGATTGCCCGTCGCTGGAGACTCTTTGATCGTGCGGCCCCACCCGTCCCAAGGAACACCAGCGCTCCGCCAGTCTTTCTTGCTCCACGCATAGACCTTCGCTGTGCGTACAGTAAGAGAACTGACTTGGCTCCCCAGGACTATCGCAGCATGCGAGATGAGGCAACGAAAGGACTCCGTGCACTTCTGATGGAAGATGTGGCAGCTCTTGCGTTTGTTGGTTTATCTTGTTTGATTCATTGCTTGCTGTGCATCCGACTCAAAAATTTGCAGCGAGAAGCTCCGCGATCCCGGCACTAGTTCCTAAGGAAATTTACGCTCCAATTTCGACCGAGCGCGTCCAGCCCAACTGTCCGCAGGCGTTGCCTTGCAAAGTGATTTGGCGAAAAGTGGCGACGAACTGTAGAACTGTAAGACGGTCGGGCCCGCTGTAGGGTTGCAATGTCATGCCTTCCTATCACAGGTGCTGGTACAGAAGCCAAGCATTGCCGGCCTTATTCTGATTCGGCTGTCGCTTTTTCTGAAATCGACACTTCTAAGATCTTCTAAGATGCCACCTGTTTCTCAAGCGTTTTGACCGGGCTGTTGTTTTTCGCTTAGGAGGAGGCCAGCTCCGTTCGAGTAGATTTCACGATTTCCTTTTTGCCCGGCTTTGCCGACTCGTGTGAAATCGCTGAAAATGCAGCCAGTCGCGCTTGATTCTTGCTACAGCTGCGAAAGCACAAGGAACTTCCAGGTGCCACTGCCTTCACAGATGCAAGGCACTCTCCAAAGGATCCAAAAGGTCTGACTGAGGCCATGCGTGTGTTGTACTGCCTGCTAGGAGCTTCGGATGGTGGCCGCGGTGTGGAGTTCTGGCTCCGTGATTTCGGCGCTCGGTGCTCGGCACGCTTGTGCAACAAGGGATTCTCAAGCAGGGCACGCATGACCTGAAAGAAAGTAGGATCCGAACGCAGACGGTGAGTAAACCCATAAGTATATATGTATGTATGTATGCATGCATGCATGCATGCATGCATGCATGCATGCATGCATGTATGTATGTATGTGTGTATATATATATATATGGTAGTTGATCTAGAGCTCATTGTGGCATAATTTATATATGAAACGACAACTGCATGGCCAAATATGCCTTCGCGAAAGTTCTGCGATGGTGCCGCTACAGTTGTTTTTTCTGCGAAAGTTATCGGTTTAGCAAACTTGCCGTACTATTATTACGATTATTGCTACTATTATTATTATTACTACTACTACTACTACTACTACTGTCACTGTTACGATTGCTGTTACTGTTACTGTTACGCTTACTGTTACGTTCAGTACATGATGCAGCAACTGGCCCTTGATTAAGCAACTGCGCTTCAGCAACCACGCCCGCTTCAGTAACTGCGCTTCAGCAACTGCCGCGATTCAGCAACTGCGCTTCAGGAACTGCCGCGATTCAGAAACTGGCCCAGCGGTTCAACGACTGTGCTTGAGCAAGTACCTAATGACGCTC